TGTGACCTCTGCCCCCTCCTATAAACCAACATCTCCACTCTGCAGCCTGCTACATAGCCGTTAGCCTGCCACAGTCACCAGAGAGTTAGCCTCTCTGAGCCGTTAGCTCAACTACAACACAGCCTCTAGCTTAGCTACAAACAGGTAGCACACAGGAACTTTTACGAACAGCATGCATGTGCTTCTAGTGACTGCAAACGCTCCAGCAGACAGGGAGAGTCCGACAGCAGCTGCTCATGGCTGGTTAGCTCTGTTAGCTCACCAGGTACAATACAGATATTAACTGAGCTTCCTGTTTGTGGATGATTAATCACTGCTATTGATCATTGATCAGTCGGAGCTGGAGGAGATCTGTGAGTAGGAATTTAAAAAAGTAACTCAGTAAGAAATTACGCTTTTAAAACTTAAGACACAACTTAATTAGTTCGGACTTTAACCAAAATTGGGAAATGGGCTGTTTGCAGACGACCATTTATATTTAACAGAAAACAGGTTTTGATGTTCAAACCACAGAACGGAAAATGGAAAACATTTTCAATTTTTATTTGTTTTATTTATTTATGAATCGTAGTCAGAAACCGAGCTGTTTTCTCATTTCAAACCAACCATTAAATTTATAACATGCAGAATATTCAGTTCACCTCAGCTGTAAATGTTTTAGAGGTTTTATTTTTATACATATTAAATTTATACTTTACAGGGAGAATAAAACCACCTGAAGTCTGATAACTTTCTGTTTCTGGGTTGAATTCGATTCATTAAAATAAAATCACTCATTTTTCTTTCAGAGCCTGAGGAGATGATTTCACATTGCTTTCTCTTCCTCATGTGGAGCTTCTTTCATTTAATGTCTTTATGAATTTTTTTTTTTATTAGTTTCTTTTCCTCTCTGCTTTATTTTCAGCTTTCATTGCTGCCGCTGTTCAAATATTACATCTGATTTAATTATTCAAATATTTCTCTGAATTAATGATGATTTCGGTGCATCTGGAGGAAGAAACGGTCACAGAGGGATCCTCAGCCTCTCTGTTGGCAGCAGTGTTTAGTTGGATATGATAATGAGTTTCCTCTGTGGAGCAGCAAGCCGTCACTCAGCTAGGCTCTCATCCTGATCCAGAGTCAGCCGCTGCCAGCAAACGCCGCTTAACACACACACACACACACACACACACACACACACACCTTAATCCCACAAAATATTAAAAATGTAAATACATGGCCAAATGTATGTGGACGGCTGAACGTCCCCCTCCAGGAAGTTGTGACTGCAACAATTAATGCGAATTCAACCAATTGCTGTTTGCAGTTGTGTTAGCAATAATAAATATGCAACCTTCAGTTAGATTTTCAAAATAAAGCTTGTGTGGTCTAGGAGAAACCTCATATTTACATATTTCCTTTAAAAACAGGCAGTTAGGGACCTGTCGCAGTAGCCAATAGTGCTGTGTGCTACTAATTTTAATATAAAAATACAAAGAAATCAATTTTTTTTGGCTTTGTGGTTAAACTTAAAAAAATAAATAAATAACATTATCAAAAATAGTAAAATTATGAATGAAACTACTTCAGCTATGAGATAAAATGTAATTTAGAATGAGTTTTGCATTAATCAGTATAATTGATGTTTACCCTATTTTATGTCAAAATGGCTTTTTTTCACAGGAAAAAAAAGGTCTATTCACCAACAACGGCCATGCCATCGAATGTATGAAATAAGAAAAGTTTATTGCACTTAATGAACAAATGTGAACCGATGTGGTATAATGAGGGATGAGGGGAAGGGGATGAGGGATGAAAGTTGGTTGGCGGATGGATGGATGGATGGATGGATGGAGGGGTTCGGCACGATGTAAGAGGGAACCGAGTGGGTTGTGAGACTGAGAGGGGGGAGTTGTCTCTTCGTATCTCTTGTAGAGAACCCCAGTGGTTCCTGTATTTGGATAAGAGAGGGAGAGAAAAAGAAAGGGTTTTGGGGGAGGGATGTGGAAAATGAGTCAAGGAGGGAGTGAACGGATAAGGTGTGCTTAAGTAAGTTTGAGTTTAAGTAAGTTTCTCAGCTGACGTTGGCCTTTATTTTATTAATACATTCGCAAACATGGTTATGACCATCAGTGTCTGAGCTTGGTCTAATGTCATTAAAGGCAACTTATTTTAGGTAGAGCTCCTCCTGTTTATAACACAGAACTGAACACTGGCTTCCTATTGGCTGCTCCTCATTAACCTCCTCGTTAGCCTGTGCCGGCCAGCTGAGGTAATTAAAGACCTGCTGAACCTGCTTTAATTAAGTAGTTTTAATGAAGAATTCTGTGGGTCAGAGAGTGACGTTTTCAGAGAAACAGCAGCCGAAGGTCTCGACATTAATCAGCTCTATGACTGCGAGCCAATCAGAGTGAAGAGTCTCTGCTGAGTCACAACATCATGGAGGAAACGCTGCAGATGCATGCTGAAGAAGAAGAAGTGAACACAGGTCTTGGTGGTGGTTCTCCAGCATTGCTGTATGTAGGCTTTTAGAAACACAGAGGTCCAAACACTGAACTTGCAAGGGGGGGTTTGGGGCATCAAAGTAGTACCTCAGTGCTGGGTACTCAGTAAGAAGTAAGGGTAGACATGGCTAGAATTTCATGCGACATCAACATTGTGGCACCAGACAGGAAGTCAGTCAGAAGAGGTTTTAACTGGAGAAACACAACCTTTGTTTCCATTTGGCACAAAATACACAAGTAAACAACATCGGGAAGAAAGACGCTCTGAAGATGTGCTGATCACGTCATAAAGCCATGCCCAGTGGAACTTAGGATATATTGTTGACTGTTGTTGAATCCTTAATGGAACCGTTTCAAGAACCAGAGCTAATTTGTTCGAAAAGGGGTCCTCCTGGTCCACACTTCTGTTCCCAATAGTTCCTGTTTGGAGCCATGACTGCAGTTTATTTGACCTCCGCCCACTGTCTTACCATCACATTTTAGCTCCTAACCAATCGTGGATGTATGAACGTGCTACGTATATGAACATGACTACGTAGCACTTTGATACTGAAACTAAAGAATAATGTTTGTCTAGTATTTTGATAGAATTTTTCAATTAATTTAATACAAAATTACTTCCTCCATGTACCACCAGCAGTACATGTATCGTAGGGGTCCTGTAGTGGGCTGTAGGTTTTTTTTTACTTACTTATTTTATATCCATTTTCACACAAAAGTCAAATTTCACAATGAGCTGATAAAGTTGACAAATCCCATTTAAAACACAGGGACGTCTCTCCACACGGGGTTTAAATGACAGGTGACTTTGCAACATGAATGGTGTCAGAAAATCAGATTATTATAAAACAAAGTTTTGGTGATCTTCTCACCTGCACCTGTAGGAATATCTCCAGAACTACACTTCATTAAATTCCCATGATACCAACAAATTACCTTCCTGCTCTCTGGAGGATAAAGTTTTTATTAACTTTCTTCTGGTCCATATGTTAGTTTCCTCTTTGTAAGCGACAGCAGAAGAAGAGAAAGCAGTTAATGGAGCTTCTTCAGAGCTTCTAGAAAAAAAAAATAATAATCTGAAATATCAGATTTCAATCTCAATAATGAACCAACAGTCAGACTGACTGACAGGAAGTCCACTCATCAGATTCTCCTCTGCAGTTAATTGGCTGAAAGACGTTGGTTATATGAACTGTCAGCGCTAAGGCTCACAGACTGCAGCTTCATTAGGTTTTTAATGTGCTGAAACTTTGGCTGATTGTCATCTGGAAGTCTTTCAGTGCAGGTTTGGTCGAATGGAATACACTTTGCAGTTGATTGAGAGGAGAGCTCTGCTGCTGCCACTTACACCTGGAGACATTTATATCAGTGGGAGAAAGTTAAATTGAGAATAGGCCAGAACTCAGATAAGAGAAAGAAATTGATGAGGAGAAATCAATCAGTCCCTCCAGGATTTCACAGGAGGTTTTTGGGGATTGTTGCAGCCTAAAATAGTTGATTTCACCACAGCTTTAAAAAAAAATTGCCATGCATGTTGCAGTGTTTTTGTATAATCTTTAAAAACCAAAAGTCTTATTATCTAGCTAACAATTGATGTAGATTAACTAATGTTTTGCTACAGAGCAACAAACTGCCAACTAGCTAGCTAATCTACATTAATCATTATCTATCTTGGAAGCTAATTACCGAGCTAATAATTGTAGTCTTTTGTTTTTTAACCATCTTCAAAATGTGGTTCTTTTCAACAAAGATGAGTCCAGCATCTCCAAGCTAAGTGAATGCATCTCCATTCAAATGCATTTCACAGTAAACCTGTAGTTTTTACCACTGTCCTGTGCTGTAAAATGTACTGATTAATTGAACTACAGTCAGTTATTCAGGAAAAAGTCGGTCCTGTGTTCAGACTGAGATGTTGAGTCTCACTGAGCAGCTTCATGTCTCACGAACCCATCGTGTTGTGTTCACTCGTCTTGTATCGCAGCTTTATGTCGAGTAGGTGGTGTTTTACTGTGAATCTTTTGTCCTGTTGACAGAATTAATGGTCTCCTTTCATCCGTCTCCTCCTCTTCTTGAACCCGTCACGCCTCCGAACAAACAGCGAGGGGTTTAATTACCGCTGCTGCTGTTTGGGAACCACAGCGAGGATGTTGGGACAGCTGGGACTTCCTCCTTCATTTTCTCCTTTACTCTCGCAGGGTTAAACAGCAAACACACAGTTCAACACGTTTATGTTTGGAAATCTCTAATGGAAAGAAATAAAGTGGTTATTTTTAATTCATTCAAACCAAAACCTCCTTCCTGTAAGCAGAATATCTTTAAGTTAAAATGTGCTTTGAAAATATTAAACTTCTGTGATTCCACAATTAATGGGAACAATTATTCTCCTCATGTAGGTCAAGTAATTTGATTGTTCCCTCTGGTTATTGAGCAGATATTAACAGAAGAAGACAAATCAACTGCTGCGTTAAACCATTCAACTGAAACTGAAGTCTCATAATACACTGTCACACTCAGAGGTTACTGATAAAACTTTTATTATCATAAGTCAGTTTGTCATTGTTTTGCACACAATACTGCATGTTAACACAATGATAAGTTGTGTATCCCAACACCCGTCCTCCATCTTCACCTTCTGTCTTTGTTCAACAGAACGAACACAATCACATAGTGGTTGGTGCATCTCCTGTAATGACTGAGCTCAAACTGCCTGTGTACTCGGTAATGATATGGAAAGGTTGTATGAAATATTCAATGTATGTAAAAATGTATCATTAAGATTCATGAAATGTCATTTTTATGGGTGAGAATTTCACTTTGTTTTAAGGAGTGGTTATAGGAAAATAGGGGAAATTAACTTGAAATATCGACAAAGTACTTATTTGTCTCTTGATACTGCATGCGCAATAAGCATCGGTTAGCCACTGAGAACACTATGTCAGAGGTAGTGTGTCCTTTATGTAGAAAAGGCAATAATAATAAATAAATAATAAAAGTGTGGCGTTTGATGTTTCCCTAACCTTAACCAAGTGCCAAGATGCCAACCCCCAACCATACCCTAACTGTAGTTAATATGCTGCAATTACAACAACTTTCTCTTACATTGTCCCCAACGTAACCATACCATAGTTGCCAGGTGCAGATACCGTAGCAAAAAAAGCAAAAACTTAAGAAAAGAATGTTACCATTGAACATACACCAAAGGTTGCAGCATTGCAACAGATTCAATAGTGTCAATATTCTTGTGTAGCGATACGTTTGACGACCCCATGAAGTGACAACTTTATTGGGTAGAGTCAGGAATTTTAGAGTAATTCATACATGAAGCAAAAAGGACTGGTAGGACTTCATGAAGGTGTCATGAGACGACAGCTGTACCCAACACTCATTTTCCTTCCTGGTGCACCACAGCTTGGATCAAGCCATGTTTGGGCTAGTATCATGAAGCTGGCTGGTTTGGTCCCTTAGGTTGGGAGCAAGCCACTGCCCCAAGTGAAGGAGTTCAAGTATAGTAAAGTTAAATGTGGTTGGGGAGGACTACTTTGCATAACCTGGTGCTACCACGACCCTGATCTATGTAAGTGGGAAAAAATGGATGGATGGATGAACTACAAGGTTGACTGGAAGATTGGTGCAGCATCATCTCTAATGTGGATGTTGATCCGACCTGTTATAGCGAAGAGTGAGCTGATCTACACATTCCAACCCTCAGCTGTGGTCATGAGTTTTGGGTAATAACTGAAAGATACAACAGATACAAGCAGCTAGAATAAGTGTTGTTCAGTGTCTGGGCTCAGAGGCAGGATGAAGAGCTCAGACATCCAAAAGGACCTTCGGATTGGTGATGAAAATAGCCAGTTGAGGTGGTTCCAGCATCTGATCAGATGTATGCCTCCCTGTGGATCTTATCTGGCCACGTCCAACTGGGAAGACCCAGAAGTTGTTTGAGGTATTACTAATAGTCCCATCTGACCTTGGAATACATGTGGGTCCTCCAGGAAGAGGATGTAACAGGGGAAGACCTCTGGACTACCTCACTTACCCTGGTGCCATTGAGACCAGGACCCGTATAGTGGCAGAAAATGGATGAATGGATCATGAAGTTTCATCTCAACACATGAGCTAGTTTATATTGACAGGAAAAAGACAGGATAAGCTTTGACATCTTGGAGAGGATAGGTGCCAGTTTAGGTGGTTTGGGCATCTGATGCTTCCTGGACACCTCCCTGTGGAGTTTCTTTTGCCCAGAACTTGTTTAGGTAATCACTAATTCCATCTAGCCTGGGAAAAACTCTGGATTCCCCAGAAAGAACTGAAGGATAGGTAAAGAAAAGTATATCTAGAAAAGTCAAGTCAAAGGCAACTGGACTTCCATCAGATTCGTATTACTTACAGATATACCATAACCTTGATCACTGAGAATCTAGACACCTAGGAATATTGACGTCTGGTCTACCCTGCTTTGCCTATGGCCACAGCAATCCAGATTGGCATAAGTGGTGGAATATTGATAGATGGATAGATTGTTGGGAATAGTCTGATGCTTCTGACTTGAGCAAACCTTTTCCTGCATGAGACCCAGGGGCAGACCCAGAACTTGTTTGAGGAAGCACTAATCCCATCCAGCATGGTAACACCAAGGGATTCCCCAGGAATATCTGGAGGACATGGCTAAGGAAAAGAATATCTGGAATGCTCAAATCAAACAGAACTGGAAGGAATTAGTTTACTTTTGTACTGGTTGTCTTTGAATTGGTCCTTCTAGATATACCATGACCAGGTTGACTGAAAATCTTCACAGACACCTAGGAATAACAATGTCTGGACTACCTTACTTTGTCTGTTGCCACAGCAACCCAGATCGTCATAGGTGGTGGAAAATGGATGGATGGATAATTGATTCTGAGAAGTTAACACTTAAAAGTTTTCCAAAGCTATCCCTTAAATGCCAGATGTGATTGGAGAATGAATTCACTTTCTTTTGTTTCAATGGGTTTTCTTTTACTGTTGAGATTGGAACAAAGACAGAAAGAGAGATGGGCAGGTGTTGTGGCACAAAGACCAAAATCTATCACCATAATCTAGTAAACTCTCCATAGATACTCAAGTTGTGCTTTATACCTACTCACACATTTTCATTTACATGTGAACATGCTTGAGAGTAGAACAGCCCCATTATCGGGCACATTGTAAACATCATTATTACTCATATTATTCACTACCAGGAAACAGAAACCACAAGGACCGAGGAGTCCTGCATGGAGATTTGCATGCAAAACAGTTCATGCATCTGCCTCGCCTTTAGAAAAAAACAGTAGAGGATGCAGATGTCTGTGAAGGCAGCTTGCTTGTTCATCTGGCAGACATCCAAAATGCTTTACAACATACGAACCTTACGAAATTTAGCAAAATCTCGGTAAACTCTTATAAAAACAAACCAGGAGGGGGGAGGAAGTGGGTTCATACATTCCTTCATCGACTGTTTCCCCACCTGTCATGCTGTCTGCAGGGAAGCAGCGTTTGGATAGGTCAGTGTTGTGTGTTTATGTGCTTTTCTTATCCAGTAACAACCCGTCTGAACGTTACAGTCAGCTCAGCCCCTGTAGGCCTTGCATGCACGACGGACGCCAAAGGTGCTACATTTAGCATTTTTATACATGGAACCAGCTACTTTAACTTATTACCCACAATCCTTGCTATGATGCATCTATGTAAATGGTGGCTGTGGGTGTTAGTGGCACCACAACATTCATTTGCGTTTCCCGTGAAATGTTGCCTGAACCTTGTTGATGTTGTGACTACTTGCAGGGAGAGTTGGCGAGCTACTGTGGCTGGTGAGCTTACTGCTGACGTTAGCTGACAAAATAGCTCAGCAGGCTAGTTGACTTGCGAGCTAACCACTGGTTAGCACAATAGCTGGCTTGGTCGCCAATTAGCCAAAAAGTTATTACAGTTCATCCAAGAGATTGTGCCATATATTATATGTCAGTTTATACTTTGGCGAAGGATGATTATATAAAAATGGATGGTGCGACACAGCTAATATGATATATGATATCCTCTGTTCAGCTGTTCCCTGTCAACACGTGTGTCTTTACTTTGCCGCTTTAATCAGTGAAAATGATGAGTTGATTTTGGTCTGAAATGTTGCGGCCAATAATTCAATTCAATTTTAATAATAATAAATAATAATAAATGCTGATGTTACCCTGCTTTTATGTAAACACCAACTATTGTTGTTGTTATCTATCATTCTTAAGTATATCAAAGTAATGCTACATAGCTAACACTACAAAACAAGCTATTAATGGCTACTAATAACAAGTGTAAACCCTGGTTTTATAGTGGGAATAAGAACGTGATGGATATGTACAAGTTAGAAATTAAATCTAATTAAGTTACTTCCACGTTACATGAAGGTAGAAACTCGTTATGTCCATTAAGATTATCCCCCATACTCTGGTCTGAAAAACAATGTGATGAACAAATTGTCTAGTGTGATGCACTTATGACAGCGACTGCTGTGCTGCTGTTAGGGAGCACTAAAGGGTGAACACATTGCCCACATACTGGCAGCATCAAGACTCATCACTCTAGGTTGATGAACTGCATTGCATCCGGATACGCTGTGTGTCTGCTCCTGGAAAGCAGCCATTATATTACATTGCTCTTTGGATTGGCCCATCTCAGCTACTGTGCTTTGACTCCTTGTTCTGTCTGTTATTGCATATCCAGTGTCTGCAACATGCATCATATGATACAAAGGTATCTATTGTGGCCCATGTTTCGCCTTTCAGAACTTAATAAGCACTTCTGCAACCAGCACCTTCACCCACTACTCTGCCCTTTTTTAAAAGATGATGACAGGAAATGAAACGCCCTCTACCTGTTGGGTGCCATAAAGAATCCAGTTAATGTTCCTGTAAGTCCAACCTGTAAAATGCAGTGAAGAGGTTTTTTGTTGGCTGTGTGAGTCGAATCTGAAATGAGCCGATTCTTCATGGTGAAATGCTGCATGTAGCACCTTTAACATCCGCATCAACAAAGAACAAAAGACAGTAAACATGTTTCTCAGTCCAGTAGAGGTTGTGCTGTCCAGGGGGAGCTGTGGCGGCGTTGCTCAGGGGCCGAACTGCCTGGAAGACTGGTACTCGCTGGGCACTTTGGGCTTAATGCCCTTGCTGTTGTAGTAGTCAACCACCTGGTTGGGCACCTCGGCTAACACGCTCTTAGCCAGAGCAGCTGGAGACGCCTGAAGGAGAGACAGAGGAAACACCAATCATACTGTACATGAGGTTTATAAACTTCTACAAACATATCAGATCATCTCTTATAAGACAAGTGCTGGTTCCAGTTTCCTATTTAAAGGCCCATAATGGTGGTTACAGCCAATTTACCATTCATGCTTAACATTTTCCCATCATCCATTAGGTTTTAGATTGACTTCCTTCCTTCCAGGCAGCTGTTGGTTTCAGTTCATTACTGTATGCCATGAAAATCAAATCAGAATTGAGATTTTCTGCAGATCCAATATAGTGAGTGTTTAAAGGAGCAATGTGCAAAATATGGACAGAGTTAGAGTTCATGGATGGTTCATCAACAGAACGTGAACATATAAATGCTATGACGATATGTCACAGTGGTCCATGTACTCTGTCCCAGAGATTTTTACTGAAATTATGATGCGTTCCATTTGAAGTGTAAAACTAGAATTTCCATGTTCACAGTCGGACATTTCAACTAGAACTTACTGTTGCATCGACTTTAACACCAAGAACGTGATTATGTATTTATATGTAAATATAACATTCTCTTTATTTGGGTTCGTACCACTGTAGTAAGACTTGTGTTACACTCAAGAGTAATGCAAGGTGAAAACTTACTTTATGTTGGGTGTGAACTCACCATTAGTAGAATCCAACACTCTGTCACAGATCATCATTACATTTTTTTATCTGTAATCTGCAGCCTAATATAGCTTTTATATCAGCATTTAATAAGCTGTATGCAACAATCCTCTGAACCGTCGTTGGTGTAATGGATGTGGCGGACTCCGCCATCCATTTGAGTTAGAACAATTTTTAAAAAGATATATTAAATTAATAATAGATTATAAGAAGAATAGAGGAACAGTTGGAGGACCACACTGCAGGAACTAAGAACGACTTTGGGATTCTGAGTGACGTACTTTATGTATTTCACTTTAGACTGTTTGCTTTGTACCATTCACATATCTCCTTTCCAACTCCGTTATTATCGTTAAACCCACAATGTAACAAACACACAGCTCCGACCACGGCGTCCTCCTTCTTGTTGTATATCGCACAGAAAAGTCTGCCAGCTTATTGTCCCTATAGGCGCCGGGAACGTAAAAAGAAAGAAAAGCCCTTGATGGTATGTTTCTTGGGGGAGCTCCCCAGAGATGCCTAATGAGACAGGACGCTCATGTGACAACTTTGACTGTAATGGATTTTGTGTCTGCAGCAAGTTTATTTTAGCAGAAACCTGAAATCAGTGGCGGTCTGAAGGGAAATCAAAGTGCATCATTAGAAGATGGATGCAGGAATGTACACAACTAGAAGCTAATTGGCAAAAAATGAATAATACAAGGAATTACCCCCTCAAATAACGCACATACATAATGTAAGGAGGGTTATACAGCATATATATTCTTATTCTGTATGGTAGAAGTGCTTCTCTGGTCCTTCCTTTTGGGAGAAACTGTAATTGTCTGAAGGAGCGTCAGTCAGAGCTGCTGTCAGATGAAAACGGCCAAAGACAGAAACTCTCATTCATCATGCAGATTAAACCCAGGGTGGAAAATACAACCAGTGCCTGTACAAAGAGTCCAAACCGGGAGGATAAATCTTCACTGTACTTTACAGTCTGTAACTTTCAGGCTTGTTAAAGACTGAAAATTCATTTGAGATAAATAAAAGATTTCCCACATAAGATCAGCTGGCAGGTTTCTACTCTGTCTTCCCTCTTAAAGGGTGAAAACTCATTTCTTCAATAACTTCACACTCCTCTCATTTCGTCCTCCTCCACTTCCAATATGCTCCGATCCAGATTCACAGCACTCTTCTCTTCTTGGCTTATTGCTTTCCTCACACTTCACAGCCCTCCGCAATTATTGCCGGGTCACGTAAAGCTGTATATACACACTGTAAAATGTTCTATCAAGACGGGATCTTTCAAATTAACACACCATCTGGTGCCCGTATTTAGAGGATTTTTAGCTCCTGGACAATAAAGAGAAGTGCTATATTAACACATTAAAATAACAAACTTGTAGTGACATGAAGCAAAATTAAGATGAAATGAGGACAATGAAAGTAAAACCTGTAAAAAGACTGTATTATTCTCATTTACAGGTTCATACTATAATACGTTTGCATGCTTTAATGTTACATACTGGCCTCTACCCATCCTGTCTGAAACACTTTACTATGTAAACAAAGCCCTGATCAACCAGACTCCATTCAGAAAACAAGCATTTTTGAGGTTGTTTGCTCCTGGATAAAGTCTGAATTCAGACTTTTTACAAATCTTTCTGTGTCTCTCTGAACCGATCAACGACCTTTAGCATCCGAGAGGGCGAGAGACCTTCAGCTAAACAGAGTCAGTCTCTCTCTCTGAAGGGGAGAACAACCTCCACCAACAGCTACAAGCTAACAAGCTCCAATGCTAACTGCTGGTTAAACCTTAATGTTTGTTATTGCTTTAAAAAAAAGTTACCACATCCAGTTAGCTTAGAGTTAGCTACTTCCTGTTAACTTAGCTACCTAGAAAAACCTAGTTATTAGCTTAGGGTTAGCTACTGTGTTAGCTACTATGTCCACTTAGGTTAGAATTTGCTTACTGGTATATGTCCTGTTAGTTTACAGTTAGCCTCATCCATCTTTGCTGCTGCCATCTTGCAGCAGCTTCTGATTCGTGCGAGTAGCAGAAAATACGAGAATTTGGGGCTTTTTATTATAGCCCCAAACAAAGCGACAGGGAATAACATTTAATAACAAAAATAATTTTTTTTACTGTTTACATCACCATAGCTGCATAGTGGGGGGGGGGGGACGTAACACATGACTAACTCATGATGCTACTGGCCATCATGATGTTGATATTTCAGCAGCATTTTGATCCGTTAATTGACATTAAATCACAGAAAAATCTGTTTTGGGCTCATACCGCTGAAGTTAGTGGTTTCAGCAAATAAACATAATTATTATTGCTGTTTTAGCTATCAATGTCACGAGTCAGCTGAATGGAAGTAACAAAACCTGAAGTTAATTCTAATGGCCACTTAAAGCTAGCTCCAGCAGTGAGTAAATAAATCTGTGTCGAACTGGGAGCCGACTGGTGTTATTTTACATCCGATGGACTCACGTGTTTGAAGTTGCGGAAGGGGACGAACTGGACGATGTCCCGGAGGACGGGCTCCCCTTTGGGTGACCGCAGGATCCCGTCATCGCCGTCCAGCATCTGCATGTCGCTGAAGTCGGCATTCCCGATCCCAACGATGATGACGGACATGGGGAGGTGGGAGGCCTGGACGATGGCCTCCCTCGTGTCAGCCATGTCGGTGATGACGCCGTCCGTCAGGATCAGCAGGATGAAGTATTGCTGGGAGACAACGGTCATCAGTTTCAAACTATCGTTAATCTCAGAGTCCTATTTAGATTTTTACCTTTTATTAAAGCATAAATATAAAATACAAGCAAGACAAAAATTCAGTTCTTCTGTCAATTTAGACCGAAGAGAACACACAAGTATAATTATCTTTTCTTTATTCTTTCATATATTTGATGTCTCTGTTTTCTGCGATGCGTTTGGCTGTCAGAGCGTACAATTAATGTCAGTTAGTTTGCTAACGTTTGACAGCAGCCGTGAATAAATTCCAGCAGAGCTGCTGCAGTAGTGTTGGTATGTGCTCGTTCTCCCACTTTAACAACAAACTCAAAGAGAGTTTGTCCCTGAACTTATGCTTTGACCAAAAACACATCAGCGGGGCAGAAACAGCACACGGGATCAAATAAGGATCACAACCTTGTGATTGTGTTGGAGGTTTATCACCAAGTCAACCTGGACGAATCGGCCCAACGAGTTTTGATTTGGATACCTCATACCCCTTTTCCACTAAGGCACTTTAAGGGCTGGTTTTGGAGCCGGTGCCTAATCTCCAACCGGTTCTTCAGCCAAAGAACCGGTTCTCTGCCAGGAACTAGTCTAGAACTAAGAACCGATTATAACAGGAGCTCAGGGTGCCTTGTGGTCAGCTAGCTATATATTTGTTAGCTGTTTAGCGGGCTACTAACCCATCATAGATATTATAAATTTAACATTAAGCCACCTAGCTGTTTTTTGTGTTTTTTAAGCTAGCTAGCTGTTGGTCAGATAACCTCCGAAACAGCCCACAATTACCCCCTTTTCACCAAGGTCAACCTAGTGCTACTCCGGGCTGCGTTTGCCAGCTATTTATTTCTTAGATGTTTAGCATATAGATATTGTGAGCTTGGGTAATGTTAGCTGACCGACAGCTCACTAACTAGCCAGCTAACCTTGGTAACAACAGCTAACGTTGGAGACGTAAGAAGGTTCTCAAGTTGAACCAACTCTGAACTGGACTAGGTTGAGTAAGTTGGTGGAAATGGGGTATCAGAGGCTGGAGCAGGTTGAATGGAGGGTATCAGGGAGAGGAATCCCGGTCTGTCAGGAGAGTCTCTCACCATCGCCTCTTTGGTGTGGACCTCCTGCGAGGCGGAGTTGGCGACCTTCTGGATGATGGGGGCGATGTTGGTGGGACCGTAGAGCTGCAGCTTGGGGAGGCAGGCCTGGTAAGCCTCCACCACGCCCTGGATACCTGACGGGAGACCAAAAACATACACCGATCAGCACTAACACTGTGAGCACTGGACTCCCTGACTGGTCCCAGACCAGCAGACTGCTCTGCACTGTGAGTTCTGACCCCTTTCTATCAGAACCAGCAATAACTGTTTCAGCAGTTTGAGCTACAGTAGCTCGTCTGTTGGATCGGACCACACGGGCCAGCCTTCACTCCCCGCCTGCATCAATGAGCCTCGGCCCCCCATGACCCTGACCTCTGCAGACCAGGAACCCCCCACAAGAGCTGCAGGTCGTCCATCACAAAGTCGTCAACTCTCACGCTGCCCATTTTTCCTGCTTCTAAAACATCAACTCTGAGGACAAAATGTTCACTGTCTGCCTGATATACCCCCCCCCCACTGACAAGCGCCCTGATAACCAGATAATCAGTGTGGGAAAAGTCATTGTATTCTTCCTGCAGGTTCCTGAACATTAAATCCTTTTAAGCAGAGAAAATGGCTCCAACAACCAGCGAGAAAAAGACTCTGGAGCTCCGTTCAAGTTCACTCCCTGGATGTGTTTAGTGGCGTCCCAGAATGCCCGGAGGCAGCAGTGATGTGATTTAATGTCTGAAGGTCGCCAAGAACACCATCTCCTTCACACACACACACACACACACACACACACACACACAGTGAGTGTTAATTAAGAGCGTCTGTGTCTCTCTGAACCGATCAATGACCTTTAGCACCCGAGAGGGCGAGAGACCTTCAGCTAAACAGAGTCAGTCTCTCTCTCTCTGAAGGGGAGAACAACCTCCACCAACAGCTACAAGCTAACAAGCTAACAAGCTCCAGTGCTAACTGCTGGTTAAACCTTAATGTGTGTTATTGCTTTAAAAAAAAGTTAGCTTAGAGTTAGCTACTATGTCCACTTAGGTTAGAATTTGCTTACTGGTATATGTCCTGTTAGTTTACAGTTAGCCTCATCCATCTTTGCTGCTGCCATCTTGCAGCAGCTTCTGATTCGTGCGAGTAGCAGAAAATATGAGAATTTGGGGCTTTTTATTATAGTTATGAAAGAAAGCCCCAAACAAAGCGACAGGGAATAACATTTAATAACAAAAATATTTTTTTTTTTTTACTGTTTACATCACCATAGCTGCATAGCGGGGGGGGGGGCGTAACACAGTGCTACTGGCCAGGGCTGCTCGGTAAATATGTGGAAGCAAACAGCACTTTTCCTTCAGTGTGGACTTCTGTCATTAATTATCTGTCGAGGCAAATTGCAAGTCATCAAAACAGCGACTCGAGTCTGAGTGCAGGTAACATTAGAATCCCCCCACTAAATCCTTAAGACATGAATCCAAGAGTTCAGGTCTTCTACACCTGAGCAGAGTCACCTGGAGACCTGCAGCCTCGTCACCATCAAACTAATTCTCACATCAAACACTTTCTTCCGCAGTCGAACTTCTGAGGCTCGCTGTCAAATATTAGAGGGTTTTTTTTCCAAAGAGAGAGGAAATCAAAGCGCCTACCTGCACACTCAGGGTTGTCCTCGTTAAAATTCACTGCAAAGTCATGGGAGACCTGGAGGGGAGACAGGAAGTGTGTTTGATCTCTGCTTCAACAATGAACAGCTCACCTTCATCTTTGTTTTTATTTCATTTTCTTCTTCTTGACATCTAATCTGAGCGGCTCTGCCAACTGAACACGTGACTGCCCCCCCCCACGCCTGGCTCTCCCCCACAGGTGAGGCCGGATGCTTTAATTGTGAGCTGTGACAGAAAGCTGACACTGGGGCAGCCGCTGTACAGGAAGTGTCAATCACTGCGGCGTGATGTGATGCTGCGTTCGCTTCACGTTCAAAATGTTTGTCATGGCAACTGAAGACAAAAGGATTTCTACAACTTCCCAAAATTAAATGAGACGTCTGGATCTTCAGTTATCAGAGAAACAAACTGCGCTAACATTAGCCTGGAAAACAAGTCTCTAGTTTTCCAGGTCTTCCAGGATGCGTCCAGTAGTCACTGTTTGCTCTGCCTGGGACAGATACTGGTCTCTTGTGAGCTGTACGGACAGAGAAAGTGTTTGTGTGCAGCAGCCGGTTAGAACCAGTTACTAACGGAGATATATTGTGTTCAAATAACGTGAAGGACAAGTTGCTATAAAAATGAAATCCTGAGAGAGACAACTCAAAGTTCTCTCTCTCTCTCTCTCTCTCTCTCTCTCTGTACGCTGATAAAAACTTAATGGAAAAGTGAGAATAAAGAAACAAAATTTTTCTGCAACTCAACTTTTCATTTGTTCAAAAGTCTTTAACTTCAGTAGTTCTAGGTAGTCGACACTTGAACAGAAATAATCAGAACTTTTTAATGCGACGTGAATGCGGCCGCTGGGCGCTGCACGGCATCATAGGAAGGTACGCGAAGGGACGTTGTTACAATTCAACCAGCAGCACCCCGGGATGACAAGGAGGAGGAGGCCGACCGGTAATCACAGGCATCTGGCGGGGTCCGCCTAAACTCTCCACAGGCCTACCTCCCCCGCTGACAATGAGCATGCTGGGAGAGACGGCGAGCTGAGCAGTTAAATTACCTTGTAGTCAGGAGGGATCTGAGCTCCGAATCCAAACGCCGGGAACATTTTGTCACTGTGAGAAGAAAAGAGAGACGTCTGAGGGTAAAAATGGCTGCCAGCAGGAGTTAACGAGCTCATTCAGACCAACACAAAGCAAAGAAATGACTCCTGATTGGCTGTGGGAGGGTCTGTGAAGCTGATTACTTCCTGCCCCCGATAAAGAACTGAAATGCAATCGGAAAATCGAGTCCACTTGAATTAAATGTGATATTTTTATGCTCTGCTGTTGTTTTCCTAAAAGGTAAAACTCTTTTTCCGGTCACTGATTCACCTTTTACACATAATGTAAGTTAAACTGTCGTACTGGGCGGATGGATACACCAAGCTGTTTGTCAAGAAATAGTTCCTGCTGTGGTTTTTACATTTCTTTTAGTGTGCAGATTAAACAAATAAAGATAAAATGTGTAAATTAGTGAGCTTTAATTGTTGGCTATCAAGTTACAGCTCAAAGCTATTGTTAGTAAAATTCTAGTTAACTAGTTAGCTAATTCACATCAGTCATTACTTAGCTCAATTTAGCACAGGTATTTATTTAGCTCAACTTTCTAACTGTATTCAGTGATTTGGGTGAAACTGGATCAGATTTAATGGAGAAAATATTTCCTGGTTTTCCCTCTGACGTCCTCCGCCTGCTCAGCTTCAGTTTCCTGATGGACAGATAGCTTTAGCTAAAGTAGCTAACCGCTAATTAGCTGCTGCTAAAACAAAACCAAAACAAAGACAGAGAACTCGAGTTAAGAGGATGCAACGATATCGGCTGATCACTACACTATAAATATATATATTCTGTAAGTATTTGTTGTGTAACTTTACATAGATTTGTTAGTGAACTGACAGATATGTTGTATAATGAAGGAAGTTGAATAAATGTTGTTTATCAGTGTATAAGCATTGGTTAACTGTCCAAATACAGTTGTTATCAGTGTAAACAGCAATAGTTACTGTAATTCCACAGATAATGACTTTTTAATTTATGTAATTTAATTTTAAAAGTTATAGAACTGTAATCAGTTCTGTAACTTTTAAAATTCACATTAAAATAAGAAATCTAATAATAACAGCACTCTGCTTTAAATGTGAGCCTGATTATTTGTATTATAGCAGAGTTCACCTGTTTTTTTTAGATTATTGCATTGATTTTACACTGTAAATATCTTCATTTAAACATTAAGAAGACAAAAATATTTTGTGTAACATTAAAGCTAAAAACAGTATTTTAATATTAGAAAATTGCTGTATTTTAACCAGTCAGTTATTTTCTGCTGTAGGATAGATTACAGTGTGCTGTTCCTTTAACGAACGGACTCATCGGATTGGCTACTGAGTCAGGTGCAGACCCACCTGTCGTAGTCCTGGCAGATCTCTCCCACGGCCACCAGAGCCTTCAGGTACTCGTTGGGCTGGTACGGGTGGATGTAGTGCAGAGAGCAGCTGTTCCGGGGATCTCCGTTAGAGGCCGTGAAGTCGATGGCGACCTGGAGACGACCAATCAGAGACCAGCATCCGCCCAGTCAGCTTTAAACCTTTCCATGATCCACAGATGTGAAAGTATAAATGTTTGTGTCTCTTTGTCTTCAACTGAAGCCCGTATGATGCAGGTGAGAGTTTGGATCATTTATATCATCTACGTCTGTGAATTAAAGATTTATTTCCACCATTTGGTGATTGTTGGAAACACTCATTTTATTTAGTTTCTGTCCACTTTGAATGTTACGATGATCTGTGAGGTAAAATTAGTGTTTTTGTCTATGGAGTCTGGTGGAGAGTGATATAACAGCTGTTTCAGACACTTTTACTATATTTTGAAATCTGGTAAAAAGGTACAAATATCATTTTGTCCCTAAAGCAGAATTTAATGGTAGAATCAGGTTCCAGAGGGAATCAATGGCTTTTGTAAATGAAGTGATTTAAATAAAGAATTAAATGTGTGAGAGCTGCAATTTGAGTTCACACAGTTTCCTCTGCGGAGGAAAAGTCCTCGCTCTGTTGTCTCAACGTTGTTTACACGTCAGACGAGCTTCTGACCCTCCGGGGCGACTCAACCTGAACCAACAGACACACCAGAAATAAACTCTCTCCTGCTGCAGGAAAGTGTTTCTGCCCGACGATGATTAAACATTTAAACACTCGGGGAGAACGAGGCTGCTCGGATCGCGACGCTCCGCCGCAGGAAGTGAAGCAGCTTTGTTGTTTACTCGTGTTAACATCAGGAAGCCACATCGTGTTTGTGCCGCTGAGGGAAGAGTCTTCTGGTTCCTGCAGCCAATGTTTGAATGACGTTTGTTTCACATTTATCAGTTTCTCTGAGCTCACTGAACGTCTGATTTTAAGGGGCGGGGCCTACGAGCAGGATCTGTGACATCACAAATAGTCTGGAAGTGGATCCTGGTCCAGTATGAAACCTGTTTACAGCTGGTGTCAACACTAAAAATAACACAGTTCACAGCGAGAACCGGTAAAATGCTTTATAAATGAGACAAAAGTCAGTTCAGCAAGAGGCAGCGAGGATTACCCCCTCTGGGGATTAACGGTATAAATGACCACAGAGACACATTGTGATCTGACTCCCCCGAGGTGGTCTGGGACTCGATCTGAGAATCATTTGATCCTGTAAGAACACAGAAACACGGCGTCTATTTAGTTTACGGTTAAATGTTTAACGTGTCCTGGCTCTTTTATATGGTGGCTGAGAGCTATCAGCGAACAGAAGTGAGCGACAACGAAACAGGGCTGTTATTAATATGTTACAAAACTGTTATTAATCTGTTATTAGACTGTTATTATAGCTACTGTTATTAGACTGTTATTAGCCTGTTATTAATCTTTTATTAGACTGTTATTATACGTTATTAATCGTTATTAGACTGTTATTATACTGTTATTATGCTGTTCTTAGACTGTTATTAATCTGTTATTAGACTGTTATTAGACTATTAATCTTTTATTACACTGTTATTATATGTTATTATGCTGTTATTAGACTGTTAGGTGCTGTGCACCTGTCTGTCTCTCTGCCTCTCTCTCTCTCTCTCTCTGTCTCTCTCTCTCTCTCTCTCTCTCTCTCTCTCTCTCTCTCACCCCAACTGGTCGAGACAGACGACCACCCACCTAGAGCCGGAGGATCTGTCCTAGGTTTCTGCCTTTTAACAGGCAGTTTTTCCTTGCCCTTGTCGCCAAGTGCTTGCTCATGGTGGTACTGTTGGGTCTCTGTAATTAATGTTAAAGAGTTCGGTCTAGACCTGCTCTATTTGAAAAGTGTCCTGAGATAACTTCTGTTATGAATTGGTGCTATACAAATAAAATTGAATTGAATTGAATTGAATTGAATTATTATACTTTATTAATCTCTGGTCAGATCACAGTGAGAGCGGTTGCTGTTAACTGGGACCGCTGAGGATGCTGGACGAGTCGCTGTGGTTTCCATGGAGACATCAGAACCTGTGTGTGTGTGTGTGTGTGTGTGTGTGTGTGTGTGCTCTCACAGTGAACTGGATCTGACAGCCTCCCATGATGTAATCCAGGAAGGAGTGCATCTTGATGACCTGCAGACAGACGAATATTTAAAGGTCAGCTGATGAGTGACGTCCAATCAGATTCACAGATCAAGATAAGGTTACATTTTTTAACAAAAGGAGAAAAAACTTTTTATTTATCGGGACAGAAACCAGGTAATAAAAAGGCCTCGGGGCTGGAGACCGAAGACTGATATTGTTTACTGAGCTCATCAATCAACTTCTACATAAGACTCCATACTATCAGAGTGGAGCTGCCCCCTGCTGGCTGTTAGAGACACTGCAGGTTTACGTCATCTCAGAGACCTTCAAGCACCTTCATACAAACGCAGCACACAGAGAAAAGATAATGACAACCGCACGTAGTGTTGCTAACTTTGCATCTTGCTAACGTAACGGTAGCTCTCTGCCTCGTAGCATAACGTTAGCTCTCTGCCTCATAGCATAACGTTAGCTCTCTGACTCGTAGCATAACGTTAGCTCTCTGCCTCATAGCATAACGTTAGCTCTGTGACTCGTAGCATAACGTTAGCTCTGTGACTCGTAGCATAACGTTAGCTCTCTGCCTCGTAGCATAACTTTAGCTCTCTGCCTCGTAGCATAACGTTAGCTCTCTGCCTCGTAGCGTAATGTTAGCTCTCTGACTCGTAGCACAACGTTAGCTCTCTGCCTCGTAGTCTAACGTTAGCTCTCTGACTCGTAGCACAACTTTAGCTCTCTGCCTCGTAGCGTAACATTAGCTCTCTGCCTCGTAGCGTAATGTTAGCTCTCTGACTCGTAGCACAACTTTAGCTCTCTGCCTCGTAGCGTAATGTTAGCTCTCTGACTCGTAGCACAACTTTAGCTCTCTGCCTCGTAGCGTAACATTAGCTCTGTGACTCGTAGCGTCACGTTAGCTCTCTGACTCGTAGCATAACGTTAGCTCTGTGCCTCGTAGCATAACGTTAGCTCTCTGCCTCGTAGCATAACGTTAGCTCTCTGCCTCGTAGCATAATGTTAGCTCTCTGACTCGTAGCATAACGTTCGCTCTCTGACTCGTAGCTGAGCGAAAGCGCTCTCTGAGCGGAGGGAACTAGAAATATTGAACGTTTCTATTTCATTGCAACCTTATGGGTTGATAATGATTTCTCCAGGTATTAGTCAGACCCTCAGATGTAACCAGGGAGGTATGGCTTGTAAAAAAAACTTTAGATTTTGATTGTGAAACGGATTAAAATATAAAATATTGATTTAATTTTTTTTTCTTTGGAAAGTGACCAAATAAAATAAACAGGATAATTCCTCATCATCACGAATAACGGACTGGAACAACTGGAAAACTCCAGGACACCGTAGGAACCCTGTTTTCATTTTGTATTAATAATTTGCATTCAACCATTGATGGAGGAGCCCCAGGCCCTACATCGACCAGGGGCCCCTCACTCCCTGAGTGTGGCCCTGACTGTGGAGACAGAATGAGATCAGAGCTGGATTATCATTAAATATCAGCTGATGTATATAGGCCAGCGCTGCGGCTGCAGACGGATCGTTACCTGCAGTTCGTTAGCCATCCGGCCCGTAAAGCTGCTCTCATTCTGTCATCAGCTCGCCTCTCGCTCTCAAAACACCTGGTTTCACTTCCTGCCTCCACTCGGACTCCTCATTCATCAAGTGTAAATTAGTCATTTGTTCCTGTGTTGTGCTCCGCCTCATTCTGCGCCGCTCTTTTCAAGCAGTCGTTAACTCGCTATGAGGCTTTGTGTGTCGAGTGTCATCAGGCTAAATGTTATCAGGCTTTCATGAGGCGGTGGCGGGATTCCCCAGACTCCCCTTGCTCGGCGTCTGAGTGCCGTTCAGCATCGTCTGGCAGGAAATGTCAGGTTAGTCAGGCTGCTCAGCGCCAAATAATTGGTTCCTCTAACAGTCTGCCAACCAGACATCGTCAGCCTCCCAAAAAACAAGGAGAGCAGCACCGAGAAAAAGCCTCATCTCATGCCCTCATGTCCTGAACTGTTTGCTGTAATGTTTAAAACTGAGAAGGAACATTTAATAATAAAGCAATGATGCAGTTAAAGAAAATCTGAGAAATGGAGGAAAACCAGTCTGTGTGGATATGAAAGATAAAGGTAATGAGATTTCATTAACGATTTTAATATCAGGACTGTCAGTTTTTCTGTCAGGGATGCTGACACAAAGTGTTTCTGTTACCTGAGAAAAGACAGTGACATGGCTCATAGCAAGCTTTAACATGCTATTAGATTATATTTACCGTTTATCGACTCTACGCAGTGGTATCGACTTTTAATCTTGCTAGCACAATGTTAGCTATCTGGCTCGTAGTGTAATGCTAGCTCTCTGGCTTTTGGGCAGGACTTTAACCCAGGAGAACGCTGTCCTGCGAAACCAAAAGTCAACGTCAACATTTTAAGCTAGGTACATAATTTAACATTAGTTACGTAACTTTCTTTTTAAAAACCTAACTAAGATGTTTTGTAAAAAATGGGAAATACATACAAGATCAACGGCTGCATAGAGCTGGGTGTCGTCTGCATATCAACATCATACTGCGCTCATATGGATCAAGACCATAGTGGTGACATATTAAGACTGAAAATCAGTGGACCCAGGACAGAGCTTTGTGGAACTCCATATGGAATATTTGTTTGCTAGCTTTCGTTGTTAACATTAGCTTTTTCAACTGCAAGGAACCCATGTTGGTTAATTATGAAGTGTTTTAATAGGTCAGTCATTCACCTTGCACTGGTTCAGAATGACGATCCCGGAGTTCTTGTAATTCTTCTTCTTGACTTTGTATTTGGGATTCATGCACGGCCACTGCACCTGAAAACACACAAAAGAACAGTAAACAAACTAAATATAGAGAAACAAAATGTTTTATGTTTTCAACAGTCACTGACAGGAAGTTAGGGTTAGGCTCTGGTGAACTCACAAAAAATTCAAATGCAAAACAGCAGCTCATCACAACTACGCTGATGTAAACAAGGGGTAAAAACACAGAATGATTGTCAAACAATAATGAATAAAATCATAATATTTCAGGCCAAAACTCAAATGACTTCTTGGAGAGGCAACCAGAGGAGCTACAATGCTAATGCTACAGCACTCTGGTTATTATTGTCACCATGATCATCATACTGCCTTTGGCTGAACCTTGGATACTGATATAAGCTAGCAGCTGTATTTTCTTTTCATTAATTATTAAAAAAAAAAAAACATTTGCTATTTTCACTTTCTCCTGCAATCTTATTGCGCAGAAATGCATTTAATAAATAAAGTTATTATTGAAATCATATCAACGCCATAACTAAGTTAACATGAAGGTCATAATCAACCCACACAGGGAATTTGATAAATGGGCAGAACAAAATAAAAGTAATTTATTGCAGCAACAGTGAAACTATGTTTAACAATATGTAGACAATGGATAATTTTATCTGTATAAGGTCAATTCAAACTCGTAATCACAATATTGGTCATAAAAGTCTCAGTTAGATATTTTCCCCAAATCGTTCCAGTGACAGCCTCCTGAACTCGAGTTACATTCAGTGTTACACAGCAGTTTAACCACAAACCCTCCGAGCTAAAAACAATCCTTCAGCTGCCCAAACGAGCCCTCAGAGGATTCGCTCTAACTCCGTTATGTGTTAACTGAGGACTGGGTGACACACGGCGGTTCAGACTCTGGTCGATAGATGGATGGAGGAGGATGAACGGAGAGCTCTCCGGAGGCTTCAGCTCTGAGGGATTCTCGCTTCCGTGTCGCTGGCCGGAGGCAGACTGTCAGCTGCAGAAGGAGGCCAATAATAAAACTTGAAGAAAAGGAGAGGGAGTGGGGATTCCCAACGGGACTCGACTGACTGCTCTCGTTGTTTCCTGTGAAGGAGGGTGGAACAGTCCTCCCTCTCTGCTGGATAACAGCAGGGATGAAGAGACAATGGGGATGAATTTACAATGTTGTGAGGCAAAATGAGAGTTTTTGTCTCTGGAGTCTGGTGGAGAGTGATAGTGATATTACGGCTGTTTGTGGTTAAACTAAAGGTCTATCTCTGTAGGGATCCTTTCCATAATGCTGTCAGACACTGACAATAACAATCTGTCTGTGGCAGAAACAATTTTTTGTGGACACACTTTAATGACACATTGTCCCAACTGATGTCACCCATTGATTTGTGGAGAACCGCTTTGAAGCTTCCAGTTTGGCATTTTGGTCATTGCCATGACAGTTTGTCGTAGCCAGTAGAAGTAACGTACTGCATGTTGAGCTGCTCTCATTGGCGGGCCAATTTTCGCTCCCCCTATAACAAGAAAAAAAAACCCCTCCTCTTAAAAAATTTTATAAACACTAACATTTTTAAATTGTAAATACAGCCCTCCAGGACCGCCTTCTTTCATTTACGTAATATTGCAAAAATTAGACACATACTATCACAGACAGATGCAGAAAAACTAATCCATGCATTTGTTACTTCAAGGCTGGATTACTGCAACTCTTTATTATCAGGTTGCCCCAATAAGTCCATTAAAACGCTCCAATTAATTCAGAACGCTGCAGCACGAGTACTGACAGGAACTAGAAAAAGAGATCACATCTCTCCTGTACTAGCTTCTCTGCATTGGCTCCCTGTAAAATGTAGAATAGAATTTAAAATCCTCCTCCTCACCTATAAAGCTCTTCATGGTCAGGCCCCTTCATATCTTAAAGAGCTCATAGTACCCTATTACCCCACTAGAACACTACGTTCTCTGAATGCTGGGCTACTTGTGGTTCCTATAGTCTCTAAAAGTAGAACAGGAGCCAGAGCCTTCAGTTACCAAGCTCCTCTCCTGTGGAACCAGCTTCCAGTTGTGGTTCAGGAGGCAGACACCCTCACCACATTCAAGAGTAGGCTTAAGACATTCCTCTTTGATAAAGCTTATAGTTAGGGCTGGATCAGGTGAGTCCTGAACCATCCCTTAGTTATGCTGCTATAGGCCTAGACTATCGGGGGATTTCCCATGGTGCACTGAGCTTCTCTCTCGCTCTCCCACTCTTTGACTAAATTTCAATATTTTTTTAAATGATTATGGTTTATTTACTTATATAACCTTTTAGCTGAGGTTGTACAGATTTTAGGGATATTAATCATTTCAAGATATTCATGGAAATAAGATCACAATAAGCACTGGCGGACTATTTCTACTGCATGGGTTAAATATTCCCAGGGTGGTGGCTGTGAGGCACTCTGAAGGTGGACGAGTTAACGGTCACAGAGAATCATTTTAGTGAAAATATTCAACTCGTCGTCACTGATAATGAGACAGCCGAGAGAGCGTCTCATGTTGTTAGTGTGATTTCAGCAGTTTGTTGCCCTCCGCTGGGAAAACAACCTGAGCACTTAGAAGCAGAACGCCACTAACGGATGGATGGGGAGCTCTTTAATTAGTGACTGCCTCGTTTCTGTTCAAATAGCTTTTATTTTGGACAGCTGTGTCTTCATTAGCTCCGCTGTCCGGGGTAATTACATCACAGCGTTTGTCTAAACAAACCCTGAGGCGTTACGTCCCCAAACGTGCACTTTTAAAGGGCAGTCAGCTGATAATTGGCACCTTAGTAGAATCCTGAAGGTGCAGGACCTGAGGGAGATCAGGTACGCTCCACGTGAAACTCGCGGGGTCAGAGTCTTCTGCTTCATGTGGTTATGCGCCACAGCTGAAGGGAATGTAATGCGGTCAAAACAATCAAAGCAGACCGTAGAGACGCTTCTGGTCATTTATAAAGGTTGCTATGCACAAAAAAGTTGCCTAAATGTTGGTGAAATGTGCAAATTTCCTCTGAAAAGTTGGGTTTTGTGGAAAAATTATGTGGTAAAGAGTGTGCATTTTTACACAGGCTTTCACCCACGCTTAGTGCTCCAGCAAAGTTCTTCAGACATGGGAACAGGTGACGTCAGATGGTGAGATCATGAAATAAACCTTAGTCCTCAATATAAAACATATATGAAATATAAAATGCACATCACTGCATTTCAGTTTGTGTGTACCTCTAATTATGGATACTTTTATTATTATTATGAAAACCCACATTTTACTCTCTTTAAGAAAAACGCCAAACTTCAACGCGCTCTGAGTGGAGGGAACAAGAAATATCTCCCGTTGCCAAGTTGTATCTAAGGTTTGTCCTATTTACTGAAGTCGAGACGTTTCCATTACATTATGGGATGTTAAGCTTTCTCCCAGGTATTAGTCAGACACTCCGCTGTTACCAGGGAAACAGCTCGTAAATTTTGTTTTATTTTGATTGAAACACATGAAAATATAAAATAATGATTTAATTTGTCTTGTTTGGTCAGTGACTTTGGTATAAGCGGGATAATGCCCTTGGAGGTGTCCATTATCAGGAATTAATGGATGGTGTGGAGGCCAGAAGCGACTTGCAACTTATCAACTTACTAAAAAGAGACTGATAACAGTATGATTAAAATGATTGAATCTTAGAGAACTCACACACAGAGAGCCTACCTGCCGTCCATCGATGGCTCCTCTCATTTCTTTGAATGTGGCCTCAAATTCTCCGATGTAGTCGTGTTTCCCGTTCGAGTCCCAGTCCCACACGGTGCACTGAGTGGACGAAACAGCAGAAACATGGATGAGAAGCTAAACACA